AACAGAATTTTCCTAGAATTTTGTAATATAGATGTAGATCAAATTTGATCTGTTGTTTGCTCTTAAGATGTAAATCATGCAGTGATGTACTATTCTCACCTGGGAATAGTTTAATATTCCAGTATACAATACAGTAGTACAGTATTTTAAAATTTTGGTGAGAGTTTTTAAATACACTTGTAGTATAAAAAATTTGTTAAAGGTAAAAGTCAGTGTTAGATGGAGATAAAATAAAATGGTGTAATTTGACATAACCTAATTCTGGATGTGATTGAAATAATAATAATGGTTCTCAAACAGTTTTTATGAAAGTTCACATTAGGTACATGTAATTACTTAAAGAGTAATTACCTAAGTGTAGTTATAGGATGAAAGCTGTGCTCACGGTGTCTTGCCTTCTCTGTAATCTTTGTCATATAACACTTTGTAATTACCTATGTGTAGTTACAGGATGAAACCTATACAGTACACGTGGTGTCCCATCTTCCCAGTACTCCGTCATGTGATACTTTGAAATTACTGACAGTTTTATTGTCCATTGCTTTCTCACTGAATTTGTTCCAACCATCTACCACTGTGTGAAAAAGAGAACTTTCTAATATTTTTTTGGTACTTTTGTTTCCTTGGCTTGAATTTGTGACCTCTTGTTCTTGAAGTTCCATGTTTGAAGAATTCCTCTTTGTCAATTCCTGTCATTACTGTATTTTCTACGTAGTGATCTTATTGCCTCTTTTTTCTTCTTCTTCTAACTTTGGCATGTGTAACACCTCTAGCCTCTTCTCGAAGCTCTTGTTTATCAGTTTCGGAATCCATTTCGTAGAATGTCTTTGCATCTTTTTCCTGTTTATTGAAGTTGTTCTTGAGATATGGGCACCATACAACTGTTGTGTAGGTGTGTGTGCACGCGTGCATGTGTGAGAAAGCATGTATTTACTATTTGTTCCTGCAGAATTGAGCTATTAGCTCTTGGACCCCACCTTTTTACCAATCTATTTTTCCTCTTATTATGTTTACTATATACTGGTATTTTTGTAACACATGCAGACACACACACACCCCAGGAAGCAGCCCATAGCAGCTATCAAACTCTCAGGTACCTACTTACTGTTAGGTGAACAGGAACATCAGGGTGAAAGAAACTCAGCCCGCTTGTTTCTGCCTCGACCAGAATCGAACCCGGGCCCTTAGGACTATGGTCCCCAAGCACCGTCCACCCGTCCACTCTACCACTAGGCCCCCCCCTCATGTGCATGTGTGTGTGTATAAACGTAAGCCTGCATTAGCATCCACTGCCCTCTCACTTATTTTCTTCCAACAGTTTACCATTCGGCATGTGGGATTTTTTCAAATTTACCCTATCAGTTACTCGTGAGTGATGTGTACAAAAATTATTTAAGTGGCAGCTATTAGTCCGTGTTATTATTTTTAATACCATAATTTTGTTCTGTTGTGGGTCTCCCATTTTCTTTTCTCTCTCCTCTTTGCTGGTAGTTTATTGATCCAGAGGAAGCGTATGAGCTGATAACGATGGGTCTGTAAGGTCATCTCTTCCCTGGCATTTTCTGCCCTAATCTTGTCATGCAATCTTTCCTAAGTTGCAAATTTCTTGTTTATCTTGATTCAACTGTGCCCTGCTATTTTATTAATTCTGTATATGATGGCTGTATATGAATATTGTATACTGTATTTTTATTTTCATACTGAAACAAGTTGTAATTGCCCATCATATTTTTGAACAACATTGCCAGTTAGGATTGATCTCTTCATGCCCATTGTGATGTATATGCTGTATGCAAAAAACAAAAATGAAAGTAACATTGAAGATTACAATATACACACAGATTGGAAGAGAAAGAGGTGGCAACACTGTATGTAGTTGCCATGTTAGCATTTTCTGGGTTTCCCTGACCCTTTTGCACCTATCAAGAGCCATTAGGGGATGGTCGTTGGGCGTGGCTCTCGGAGGAAATGGCTGGGCTTATGGACCATGCTCGGGGGGATTGAGAAATCAGAAGGTGTTGTGACTAGCTGGAGTGACGTGTTTACTGTGCAGTAACCATAGTGCATATGTTCTATGCTGGAATGGTGGTACTAAAGAGGCATTTTAATATCAAATATTGTATTAGTGCTTATTAAAGTGGTAAAAAGTTCTTGAAAAATTGCAAAATATAATTTTTTTTTAGTTTTGTGTTCTATAAATGTAATGGTCAGTTTAAATACAAAGTTATATATACTGTATGGCAGAATTTTCCTGATTTAGATTTGTATATATATTAGTAATGACACTAAATACAGATCATGCCTTTGAACTGTGTACGCAGTGAGAATTGTTAAGAATTAATTTCTTTATAATAACCTTGCTGAACTGAATATATTATAGTAATACTATCCTGAACTTCATATTAATTAGAGATTACAAGAAAAAAAAGAGATTGTTGGAAAAATCAGTAGTTGTCGATAATACTTAGTCATATTGTGGCTTCATCTTGATTTTGTTATTAACAAACTTGAGTCCTTTCATTATCATAGAAGAATACATTAGATCTGTTTGACACACTATCATTATGCCTGATGCTGAAGGAGATGCACCTCTTCATGTAAAAATTTTAGAGAGGAAAGTAAATATTTTGGAGAACCAAATTCAGGACCTCAAATATCGTTTGATAAGTAACGAGAGAAAGGCAGCTGAGGAGAAGAGGCGAAAATTAGGTAATGTTAAGCAAATATCCTTCTATGCATTTTTCTAATTACAGTAGTAATGTTCTAATTTCTGATAATGGTGAGCAAGTTTCCATTTATTAGGTACAGTAAGTTATATTATTGCTTATTTTTCTTTGATGGTATACAGTATATTGTGAATGATAGAATGAATGGATAAGTGATATTTTTACTTTTTTTATTGCTTTACGTTACTTTGCAATGATTTTGGAACTCAACGTCCCCAGAGTCCCCCTGTACAGTATAGTACTTAATTTCTGTAACGTTCTCACGTTATAGTATTACAGTACCTGAATTTACCTGATGGGCCAGATATCTCAATGAGGACAGGAAGCCAGCAGCTTGTCAAAGGTCCCCTATTTGTTCTTATGATTTTATCGAGCTTGATCTTGAATTGCAGTATTGTTTAGCATATATGGCTTCGGCGGGTAGGCAATTCTATTGGTTCATAACTCTCACTTATGAACAACCAGATAGATTAATAATTTTCATAAAAATAATGAGACTTACACTTATGGTAAATAAAATATGCTGCTTATGAAGTTAGTCTAAGCTTCTGGTATTGACTAGTGATGACAGGGTTGACACACTGGCACCATAAGAATCTGGGACCTTCCACTTCCATGCTCACCTATATGACCACATTATCCACTGTGGCACTTACCTCATGATGGGCCAAGCCTTACTGACATTCTGCTACTATTACTATTGACTGATGGTTCTGTGCAAAAATAAAAGTATAAAAAATTAAAATTATAAATAATACAGTATTGAAATTTTTAACTTTTTGTGCTACTTTTGAGTCTTGAGATGTTTAAAAGTTTTGTCAGACCTGACATCACTGTTAAATGAATGCTGTGTGGACTGATGTCACCAAACTAGCTTGTACTCACCTATTTGTGCTTGCGGGGGTTGAGCTTTGGCTCTTTGGTCCCGCCTCTCAACTGTCAATCAACTGGTGTACAGATTCCTGAGCCTACTGAGCTTTATCATATCTACATTTGAAACTGTGTAGAGCCTCCACCACATCACTGCCTTATGCATTCCATTTGTTAACTACTCTGACACTGAAAAAGTTCTTCTAATGTCTCTGTGGCTCATTTGGGTACTCGGCTTCCACCTGAGCTCGGCTTGTTCGTGTTCTGCCTACGCTAAAGAGTTTGTCTTTGCCCACCCCTGTCAATTCCCCCAAGAATTTTATAGGTAGTTATAATCTCTTCCCTTATTCTTCTATCTTCCAGGGATGTGAGTTTCAGCTCCTTTAGCCTTTCCTCGTAGCTCATACCTCTCAGTTCCGGGGTATGTAAGGGGAGTAAGGCGGGAGTAAGGGAAGACATTATATCCTCCTTTTCCTTGTGCTTGACAATCATGGGAATTTGCTTTGTCATTTATTTTCATTTTCATCTCCACAACTGAAATAATTGAATTATTAAATGTTGTCAAAAATTGAGGTGCACATCATGAAATTTTCACATTTTTGGCTAATTTTTTAACATTTAAATTTACTTTATTATTTTTCCCATGAATCTGTATACAGTATGTGAAAGATTTTATAAACAGAATATGGTGTTCTCTGGCATATGTCACTGGCGACGGCTTGACTTGTGCCAGCTATGTCCCCAAATGCTAAATCCAGGAACTGAATTTCATTTTGTTGCATTGTATAGTAATTAAAGTGCCAGTAAGTGTATTATAATACCATACAAATGTATTAGGTGTTCTCTATAGATTTCCTAGCAGTTTTCATGGAATTGTTAAATTTTGTCCAAAATTTGCAGTTAGTACTATTTCTGGAGAATTGATTTGTTTTATCAGCTTGAAATGTTGAAGAAATTATGGTCATGGAAGAAAGACCTCTGTTGTTATTAGGCCATTTAATCGCATCTCCTGGTGACAGATTTTTGTACCATTTTAAAAATTACCAGTAGGTGGTTGAGCCCCCAGTGATCTTGTAATTATTTCCAATTCACAATTATCGTTCAGGTTGTTGCTTTGTGTATTCTTGTTATTTATACACTATTGCCTATATCACTGGCAGAACCATATCTGTTTGAGAAAATGTTGCCATCATTGAACTCTAAGAGGGAAAAAATTTGGTCTTTCATCCTAGTTGGAAGGGTACACCGTCTTCTGTCATAAACAGTGTGCAAGACTGCGGCAGTGAATATCACTCGATTTTGAATGTAATAATTCTTCCTCTTAAGAATATTTCTGTACCTTTCAGTAACTATTATTGATTATAATTCTGCTGCTGATTTAAACAAATTTTATTCTTCTTTCAGATTCCAAGTTCAGGCAGAAATTCAAGCAACAACAACTCCCAGCATGGCAGCCTATCTTAACAGCTGACACAGTTCTCCCAGCCTTTTTTCTGATTGGCTTGCTCTTTGTTCCTCTTGGTGCTGCCCTACTCTTCTTTTCACGAAGTGTAGGTATATGTTCATAATTTATGAATGTAACTTTAGTACTATATATATTTTACTTAAAAGTTATGAATTGATGGTTTTTATTTTATTTAACCAGTTCATTGTTATGTCCTTTTCTGTGGGGAGCCCCTTCGGCTCCCTGGAGCTTTCGGGCTAGTGTGTGATATATTAGATAAGGGCATTAGTGCATGGAGTTTCACCTACTGGGGACCAAGAACCAGAACCTGGCCCCCTCAGAGAGGTTGCAGGGAGCAATGGTCTTGGAAAATTTCCCTGTGGTTAGAGGTTTTCCTTATCTGCCATCGACCGGCGTTAGGCACCCAGAAAGGTAAGCATAACAAAACAAACCCCACATGGTAAGAATATTACAACTAAAAACTGAAAAAGAGAAGTAGAGCTCCCTCCAATCCTAAGGAAATAAGTAAACGTCACACTCCACTGCCGCACCGCTCGTCTGCACAGCCCTCCCCTCCCTGCGCTCTTTGTGGTGGCCAGGTGTTCCTCATCAGTGCTGGGGCTGCATGCACTTGGGGGCTTCCTTTCCGCCCCTGTGGGTACTGGCCTTGCGTGTTAGGAGATTCCCTTCCCTGGTGCGTTCGGGAAACCATTTCCGTTGGGGTTTTTGCTGCTTGGCATTTACCCCGCCCTTGGGGCTGGGTAAATGTACATTTAATGTAATAATGCATTAATGTACAATTAGTGTAATGTATAAATGTACATTACACTGCCCATGTGTAATGTACAGTTCTTATCAAAATGTGAATTATTTTCAGGTGCAAGAATTACAGCTGGATTATACTGAATGTCTCAGTACAACTCACATACTAGCTAATGGAGAGCCAAAATTATGTCGAGATGTCATTAAGGAGAATATTGGAGACTTATGTGTGTGTCAAAAAAACTTCACTGTAGATGAATCCTTTGAAAAGAATGTGAGTATTTTTTGTATTGAAATCTTAAAACACTACTATTAACAGCAATAGGTGGTTAATATTAATTTTTCTGAATGTGTAATTTGCTGTAGTGTTTTAACATACAGTATAAGTATGGATATTCTCTTAACGTAAATTGTTGGCATTATCACAGTGTTAAGAGCTTGTAAATATGGATGCATTTTTGTATTCCCAAGCTGTGTAAACTTTAGTAATGTCTCATTGATTAATTTATTCATTACCATTACCCTGTTTTCCACTTTATTGGGCGGGGAGGCATCAGCCTATAAAATATATAATAATATAGAAAAAGAAAGTTATAAATAATAGAGTTGAATATCACTCGCCAATTTATAGCATTCACACCAGTTTGTCCAATTTATAGCAATCATGGATAAACAAATTTGCTATATTCCAGCAGCATCCTACTGCATCATAAAACCAAACATACAGTGCTCTTTTTGAACTGTTGTACACAGTACAGGTACCAAGAAAGAAAGAGAATCAAATAAGGGTATCATGTATCCCTAGTACATGATACCCTTATTTGAGCACGATAATGGTCCAGGATGAATGGAAATGTCATTGTTTCTCTATTTTCTGATGTGCGGTTTGGTCATCATTAGTGTTTTTCAGAATATCAATATTTATAATGTGCAAGATGCCTGGTATAGGGAACCGAGGATATCTTCTTCGTCTGGCTGCAAATAACAAATATCTCATTAATTAGCTACTATTTACAGGTGTACCTTTACTATGGATTGGACAACTTCTATCAGAATCATCGCCGGTATGTCAAGTCTCGTGATGACAAGCAGCTACTGGGTAGAGATGATACTACTGTTTCAAACGACTGTAGTCCATTTGGTACAGACTCCGAAGGGAAAGTGTATGCTCCATGTGGAGCAATTGCCAACTCTATGTTCAATGGTAAGATATAATTAAAAGCAATTGCTGTATATGAAAGTTCAATAATGCAGAATAAAAACACTCATTTAATGGGAACAAATGAAATAATGTACTGTACTGTAATGTTAACTGTTTTACCCAGTTAAGAATATTCATTAGCAATACTTTGTACAATATGAGCAACACTGTCTCTACACATCCTTCCCCCTCCCCTCATCCCCCCTTCCTTTCCTACCAGCTGGACAATAACTTGAAACATTTGTTATTATATTAAATGTGTGCACACTTTTGTTCTGGGCATTGTAGTTTTTTCTGGATGACCATTTTGGCACTTTTCTGATAGGGCCCACAGTAGTTTATTCCCATGCTTCAACCCTATTCCTATACTGTACTTCAAACCAATTGCTATACTTAAACCTTATTCCTATACTTCAACCTTCTTCACTGGCAGTCTTTCATTACATGACTTGATAATGGTCCAGGACAAACTGAAATTTTGTAATTTCCTTTCTGGTGAGGTTTCCCCCCATCCCCAGTGACTTTCTGAAGTTATCTTGCTGAGATTGCTCTATATTAAAAGGACACATCGGTCACAGAAGTTCTGTTTGGTCTACAGGGGGACCAGTGCCAGTACCTGGCCACCCCTCATACACACACACACACACACACACACACACACACACACACGAATTGAGTGATGATTCACAATTCCACCAGAGAAAAGTCTTCAGAAACTCTGTGAAGCTTTACAGGCAACTGGAGGGTTCATAGAAACTGAAGCCTCAAAACAACCAAACACAACTCTGCAAACTATTCACACAGAACAGAGGATTAACTCAAATGAGCTCAAATCTTGTTGGTACCAATTACCACCACTAGGCGGCCCGGCCATGCCCTCTGCTAACTCCCCATCTCGGTTCTGTTGCTGATGTGGTGAAATATAGTTCTGCCTGTAGTATTCTGGTCCACCAGTCGTGGGCAAAACCCGTCCTTTCGAACTAAGTTCAAGCCATCCTTGGACTGTGGCTGTGGTGGACTTGGAATGGCCATAGTGGCCATTTACTTTTTAAATTGTTCCTTATTTTAGTGTTTGTTTCAAGTGTGTGTTTTTGATCCAGTTCATTGTGTGGGTTTGGCTTTTGTTGCATGCACTTGGCTGCATGCACTCAGGGTTTTCTTCCCTAGGTCACTTTCCCTGGATACCCCATTGCTCCAAAATATCAAATACTGGCTCTTTTGACTTTGTATTTGTCGCACATAAGCATCCTAGGGATGTCGCAACATGTGTCCCGCCGAACATCCATAGTTATTTATAGGCACAATATCTGTCCCCGACGGCCGAAAGTGTTAAATTGTTAAGGTAAAATGTTCAATCTGTACTATTGATATATGTACTTTTGCCTTTTCGCAGATACACTAAGACTGTTTGAAGTAAAAGACAGTGGAGCATCGCACGAGCTGAATTTATTAAAGACAGGAATTGCTTGGCCTTCAGATCGTAAAATCAAATTCAACAATCCACCTGGGCCCTTAAATGCAAGTGGAGGTATGTATGATTAGTATTTTTGTGTTAAAAGTTTGTTGCTGTTATTTGTGTATTGCTATACTTGAGTGTCACACTTTATATAGTATTTTTTAGCATGTCTCACGTGGTTACTCCTATAGACAGGGAACTATATCTACTCTTGGATTTTGCACATGACAGTAAGATTATAGTGGAATGTATATATTTACTATTTACTATGTTTACTATGCATCTTGATCTTCGAACTTTGGGTGGGTTTGTTATTCAGGGTTTGTTTAGCCAGAGTACTTCTCATCTTTTCTCTGGGCAATTGTGCCAAAACTCCATGGGCTTCCTCTACCACTTCTGTTTCAGCCACAGGGGTGGCTTTTTCTCTGGATTATGTTCTGTTGTCTTCTCAGCTCCCACTTTCTTCTGGTTCATAAGTGGCTGTGGGCCAAGTCTGTAGCTGTGGAATGTGACTTGAGAGACTGTCGAGACTGGGATTTGACAGAGGCTGTAGGGCACACTTCACTTCCTTCAATTCATTGTATCCTTAGGATGTGCCTGATGGTTCCACTTTACCAAGTTTCTATGACTTCCTTGGTCGACAGTGTCTGGGAATTGGGGTTGCTGGAGGAGAGACATTTTCTGCCTTTTGACCCTCTTTGGAGTTTGGTTCCTTGCCCTGAGGATTTGTTGATCGAAGCAGACATGTTTTCTTATTCATTACATGTTAGATGCCCTAACTGTTTTCAGTGGTCTTGTTCTCTTTGTCCTTGGTTTGATACACCTAAATGTAACCTTAAAAAGTAACCCTAAAAAGTAACCTTCAGGTGAATTTTGAATGGAGGACTGTCTAAGTATATACAGCTTAGACAGGTAGGTGATTCCATAGGTTTATTATCCTATGGGTGAGAAAAATCTCCTGTATTTTGTCATACATTCACATCTTTCTTGTTTCCAGTAAGAGCATTTTCTCTCATGTTAATCCATTTAATCATGTAATATTCATCTATATTATACTCTGATGTCAAGTCCCTTGCTGTCACAGTCTTGACATCTCCTGAGGACTGTCCACCCTCCTGTAATCTTTAACTACAACATTTTTTCAGCATATCCCAACCAAGGGTCAAAATACAGCTAAAGGGTTAAAGTTGCTTAACCTGGTACTGCTGTAATCCTTCATAATGTAGTGATTGATAAGAAGGTTTTGAGTATGAACAGAGCACAAAAAATTGTAAAAAATAAGACCAGATGGATTTGGGTAAAACAATTGACACATTTCTTACATATCTCGGGAAAGCACTTTACGCTTGAGACAGTACTGCATGAAACAGTGGGGTCCTGCTGTGGATGTATTGGTAGTGTGTGATGGTACTGTAAGATGTAATAGTTTTTTTTTCTAGTTGCTCTCTTATTTTTCCAGGGAAATGGTTCAGTAAAGGCTATTGCCCAAGATGCCAATTTACATTTTTATGTTATATTATTGAAGGTGGTGTAATTTTTTTCTGAATATTACATTTTCTCTCACAGCTTTCAGTAATAATGTGAAGCCAATATACTGGACAAAAAATGTGTTTGACTTAGACCCAGAAGACCCCAACAATAATGGTTATAAGAATGAAGACTTGATTGTCTGGATGAGAAGTGCTGCCTTTCCAACATTCCGTAAACTGTACCGAAGGATTGACCACAACATGACAGGGTTTAAATATGGGTTTCCTAAAGGGACATACTATCTGGAAGTAGAGTACAGGTACCCAGTGGACTCCTTTGGTGGCAAGAAACGAATGATTCTGTCAACCACAAGCTTTCTGGGTGGCAAGAACAACTTCTTGGGGATTGCTTATATCAGCGTGGGTTGCCTCTGTTTATTTTTGGGGATCATATTCCTGATTATTCACATCAAATTTGGCAAAAGGTGAGTGATTCTAATAGTTTGAGATATTTAAAAACTACAAGTTTTGTATTAAAACCAACACACTACTGTGTTGTATTTGAAGACAATGTATTTATATATACAGTTATGTATATCCATTGTCTTCAGATATAATAAAGTAGTGTTTGGTTTTAGCACAAAAAAGTGAAATAAAAATCATAGGGAAGTTAAAAATAAAGTATGTGGAGGAGTTCAAAAAATTTTAAATGGGAATTTGCCTATGTAATAAAATATGACAAACATGTCTGAAAGAGAAATTGACAGCTACACAGAAATCACAATAGTGTGATGCATCAAATGAATAACTCTACAAGGGCCGTGATGCGGGTTTGAACCTGCGTCCGAGAGGATCCCAGACGTGCCTTAATCCTCATCACAGCCCTGGTGGATTTGTTCTTTGACAGCTAAATAAACAAAATTAAATCCCCTTAGGCTGGATTTTTAATCTCTTGTGCAATATTAAATGTCATATGAGTGTAAACAAATTTATAATATGAAAAGAAGCAAAAAAGACAATTCTAACTACAGTAAAGTACAGTAAATTTAATTCTGTAAGCAGAACCAGTAACTGCAAAGGAAGTGCGGCGCATAACATGGTTTTCTTGTGCAGACGAAGAGTCACAATAACGTGGCTCGAGATATGATGACAAAACCACTCGCCAGAAGATAAGGAGGAGACAAAGTTTTTCTGGGGGGAGCCCCGTCGGCTCCCCGGAGCTTTACCGGCTGATATGCTAATGTCAGACTTTGGCATCAGTCATGTGTATGGAGTTCTAGGGCCTACCGGGGACCACGAGCCAGAACCTGGCCCCCTCAGAGAGGCAAGGGGAGCAATGGCCTATAGAAACCCCCGTGTGGTTGGAAGCATTCTATGTCTGCCATCGACCGGGTCAAGCATCCAGAAAGGTAAGCATTCCAAAACAAACCCCTATTCTGGTGAAAATTGCTACCTAAGCCGAACTAGTGAATAGAACTCTTCAACAGAAAACACGGAAACTAGTATGACGTCATACGTCACCGCGCCGCTGTCTGCGCAGCTCCCCCCTCCCCGGGAGGGGGAAGGGGGAGCCCCAGACCTCCCACGCCGGCTATCCACCCATCAGTTCTTCGGCTGATGCTATAGGCAATGGTTATGTGCTCCGGCTCCAGTGGTTGTTTCAGCACTGTACCTAGAGTGTGGTGTCTGTTTTCTAGGTGGTGCGTGAGCCGGGTGTGATTCTTCAGTACTCGGGCTGCATGCGCCTAGGGTTCCCTTCCCTAGGTGCCCTGTAAGTACTGCCCTTGGGGCTTGGGGCCACCTTCCACAAGTTCCTTGGGTCCTGCCCCTGCTTGGCCGTTTACCGCTTGGTTTTCGGCCGCTCTTTGTGTGCTCGGGTGTTCTGTCTCCCTTGTTCGCCTTAGAGTAAGGGGCAGTGTTTGCACTGGTGGGGCGCGGGGTACTGTGCAGCTTGTCTTTACCAATCATAGCGGCCGGCTCTGTTCCGCTTGGGTACGCTGTCCTCTTGCGGGGTTTTCTTTTTCTTTTGTTTATATACCTGGTGGGGGGGTCTGCCTTCGTTCTTGCCCCTTGTGTCCCTTGTGTTCTGAGTATTTCTGGTGGTACCCCCTGCTAGGTCCCCGTGAGTGTACACGTCCCGGGGGTTCAGCTCTTAGAAAGTTGTTTGGTAGCTTGGGTGCCGGTTAGCAGTACCCTGCCTGGGATTACCTGAGCGCGAGTCCTCTTAAAGTAAACGCTCGGGACCCTGGGAAACCCCTGGGGGCGCGCGGGTCCGATGGATGTGACCCCAGAGCCCCCCCCTCGCTTCCAGCGAGTTTGAGGGTTGCTCTCACCTTTTGTCTCTGGGTGACTCTCTGTTTTGCCTCCGTCTGCTGCCTGTGGGGTCGGTGACACCTTCGACCCGGTGTCCTGCGAGTTTGGTTGCTCGTTGTGGCTCGGTTACCCAGTTGTGCTAACAAAGCGGGTGCGGGCAGCAGGGGCGTTGCACTTGAGCCTTGGTGGTGGCAACGTTCTCGTGGTTTCCTCCCCGGGAGCCCCGGGGCTGCCCCGTTGTATTTCGTTTTTCCCCTGGTTCACCCTTCCTGCCTGCATCCGGTTCCTTACCGTCTGTAGGTTCAGGGCGGGGTGTTTGGTGGTGTTGAGACTCGGGCAGTCTCGGGGAATTCCCCTTCCGGGGTAGTGACGGGGGCATTTGGGCCTGTTCCTCCAGCCGTGTTGTATGAGTCTGCCAGTGGGCTCCCTTCCTTAGTGTTTTCACGGCTGCCCCGGTTTTCTGGTACGGCCGGGGCTTTGGGGGAACGGCTCGGCCCCGGGGCCTGTCGTGTAGGTTCCCGGGGCTGGGGAGGGGCTGACTTGGGGGGCCTTGGCCCCGTTAGACCCCGTGGGGGGTTTTATCCCCCTCTAGGCGGGGCTTGTGGTTACGCGGAGTGGGGTTTTTCCTCCCCACTCGCCGTACGTGCTGTTGGACGTCGGCCCCTCCCCGGGCTCGGTTCCTTGGCCTTTGAGTCGGTTGGTTCCGTCCTGTGGGTGGATGTTTCCTCCCCCGCTTTTTGGGACGGTGTTTTTGTCATGTTTCCCCGTTCGATGGGGTTCTGCGTGACTTTTGATCTCGGGTGCGCCTGCGCCTTCGTGTGCCTTCGGGACTAGTGTTGGCTTCTGTGTTCTCGAGGGTACGGGAAGGTTTTTCGCTACTTCCCGCATTATTGGAACGTCTGTCGGCTCCTAGTACTTGTCGCCCTGTTGGGCTACTTGTCGCCCTGTTGGGCTACTTGTCGCCCTGTTGGGCTACTTGTCGCCCTGTTGGGCTACTTGTCGCCCTGTTGGGCTACTTGTCGCCCGGTTGGGCTACTTGTCGCCCGGTTGGGCTACTTGTCGGCCGTTTGGGCTACTTGTCGCCCGTTTGGGCTACTTGTCGCCCGTTTGGGTTCCCTTTTTTTGGGCTCTTTGCTTCTTTGGCCGGTTTTCTTGTTCCTGCTTCCTCTTTTGGCTCTTTTTCTCGTGCAATAGTCCTGGCTGGCGCCTTCCCGCAGGGAGGGTGTGCGGTTCGGCCAGCGTGTTATGCGCATGCGCCGTGGAGTTTGTTTTGGTCTGGGCGATGGTTCAGTGCTGGGGTTTTGCGCCCTTTTTTGCTACAGTGCTTCGCCTCTCGTTCTTCTCCCTGGCTGCGGTATGTGCCCCTTTGCGCCAGGGGTGTCCTGGTTCCCAGTTGTGGGGAGGACACCGCGGTTTTCTGTGTCATGGGTGTGGACCGCCTCCTTCGCCTCTCCCTGTTCTCCTGCGGGTCCGGCTCTGGCGTCTTCACCTGGCGGTGCTCCCAAGTTCTTCTGGGCACGGTTGAGTCGTGTCAAGTTCGAGCCACCATTCGCCAGGTGAGTTTCTGCGGTCTGGCGTCTTTTGGCCGGGCGCTGGATGCGGCGGTGTTCATATACCTGTCTTTATTTAGGTATAATTTTGTACGACTGAGACCGTTCGCACACCAGTGACTGTCCCTTTATCACCCCTTCCTGTCCCCCTCCTGTGCATGTCCAACCCATGCTACAGTCGTTCAGGGGACCCTCCTTTTTTAATGTTGTGAGGTGTGGGGGTTGTAGGGTTGGTTCTGTACTCACCTGGTGAGGCTCCTGGCTGTGCTTGCAGGATTTGAGCTCTGGCTCTTGGGTCCCGCCTATCTGGTAGAACTTGCGGGATAGTACCAGTGGAGTGCAGTGGTGCTATTGGCACTTTTGGGGAACACTGTATTACCATCAGTGGTCTGTGCTTGTTACACGACCTACTTGCGAGCATAAGCCTTCTTGCTGGTTCGTCCGTGGACTTCCAGGGCGCACTGGCCTGTTTTCGTATGGCAGTTCCGGCCCGTCCTGGTTGTGGGGGTATGTGGGCCGGTGGACTGCTCCTAGCAGCTGCCTGGTGGGCCATCCTCTGGCCGGTCTGGCCTGACCTTGGGCCGGGCTTGAGGTGTAAAAGAGCTCCCAGTACCTCATCCAGCAGGTATCGAGCGGGGTTTCTCCGCCGTCGGTCGCCTGGTGCAGGTTTCTGGGCCTGCAGGGTTTTGTCGTGTCTCCGTTGGCCCTGTCTGGGGTCTGCCTGCTCCGTTCTCTGCCTTTGCAGAGGGGAGTTGCTATTTACATGTTGCATGTTGCAGTGGTGCCTGTTGCTGCTGCTGCTGCACGTGAGCATTGGTACCGTGTTTCACGGTGGCGTGTCCTTGTTCCTGTGTCCGGTTGTGGAGTGGCGCTTTGCTGCCGTTTTGTGCCTGGGGATTGCGTGGGGTTTTTGTCCCTGCCTGATTGTCCACCCCTGGTTGTTCTCCTGGTTTTTTTTTTTTTTTTTTTGTGCTTCTGCTCTTTCTTCCTGCCTCTTCTGCAGCAGGAATGTTCTGCGTGTGTTCTTAGGCGTTGGTCAGCCTGTGTCCTGTGATGTGCTTCTTTGTTTCGGTCTGTTGCAGTTGTTCGGGCCCCTTGGTTCGGGTCCTGTTCTGGCGGCGACCCTTCCGCCTTCTTTGGTTTTCCTAGCTTGCCCTGCCGGTTGTTGTTGTTGTTTTATTTTTTTTGGGGGGGTTCTTGCGATGTCTCGCGTCGGACCCGTCGTTTCTGAACTCCTGGCGGGCTTGCATGCTTCGGAGTTTTTCTGTTCGGCAGACGTTCCATCTCCTTGTGCCGCCTGGGTTTCGGTGGTCGCGCCCGAGATCTTCTCGCGGCTCCGCCTTTTTCCTGGGCTCGGGGGGGCCTTGTCGGGGCTGCTTATGTTCTGCCTCGTGGTCTCGCCTCCGGTTGGTGGTCGGGTGGCTTCGTGGTAGGTGTCCCACCTGCGTGCTTCTTGGCGGCAGTATGGGGTATTTTGGCGGTCCTTCCTTTTCCTGTCCCTTCTTCGGTGGGTCCTTCTTGTTGGCTTGGTTTACTCTCGGCTTGGTTTTCTAGTGGGGGTTGGGGGCCGTCGTCTTGCCACATACTGTCGCCTCTTTTCGTGCGGCGCAGGCGGAGCCGCTTCAGCTTGCTTTCGGTCTT